TCGTTTTATTTGCGTGTTCAATGCTCCAAGAGTAGAAAGCGATAACGAAAAAGCGCCTTGGCATTTTTGAGAGACAACCAAGCTCTTCCATCCTCCTCCACACCCTCCTCCTCCTGCTTCTCCTCCTCCTCCTCCCTCCTCCTCCCCCTCCTCCTCCCCCTCATCCCCCCCTCTCCTCCATCACCTGGAGTGCCCCGGACAACTGCCTCGAGCAATTGCATCAGCATAATTTTCCGGAGGTCCGCGCGGAGTTCTTGGCTCGGCGCCGGGCTTTGCTGGCGGCGCGCGCGGCGCCGCCGCGCGCCAGGGAGGGGGTCCCAGCGCCGATCTCGAAGTACTCCGCGCGAGCCTGCGAGAGCTTGCCGTCTGCTTCTTCCTCTGGCCTCCCCGAACTGCTCCGCGCGGACTCCAGGAGAGACGAGGGCCGCCTGCTGTTTCTTGGGAGCTCCTGGAACGTCCCGAGCCAATCCCCTGACCTGCGATGTTCTGTTTTTTCCCTACGGGCCCCCCAGAAGTCCCGACCCCTACCCTGTATACAGTCAACGCGCATAGTGAGAGGAGGAGCCGCTTTCCAGGCTTACCCCTGCATCCTTCCCCTTCGGCCCATCCGTGGCAGCTTCAGCTGGCCGCGCCCCGCTCGAAAAGTGTCGGCATGGCCCTCCAAGGCCTCGGCATCCTCACCGCTCCTCCCTGCGCGTTGACTACAGGGCCGGGGTTTCCGTCCCGAGTCGTTGATCAACGGCTCCGGGGTCCCGACGAGGGCCCCGGGGGTGGAGGAGGAGGAGGAGGAGGAGGAGGAGGAGGAGGAGGAGGAGGAAGAGGAGGAGGAGGTGGAGGTGGAGGAGGAGGAGGAGGAGGAGGAACAGGAGGAGGAGGAGGCGAAGGAAGAGGAGGAGGAGGAGGAGGAGGAGGAGGAGGAAGAGGAGGAGGAGGAGGAGGCGACGACCCCCCCACCGTCCTGGTTCTCGGACGCCGCCCCTCCGGCGGTCCTTCGGGACGCTGCGGGCACCCCCGCAGAACGCCCTCGGCGAGGCGCAGCAGCTGCCGGCGAGCCCCCCCCGATCGGCTGGAGAAGGCCGTGGAGGGCCGCCGAGAGCGCCCGAGGCGTCGAAGCTCGAGCCGAGGATGCCGTCGAAGCGCCTGCTGTGAGTTTTGTTCCCGTCGTGCGCTCCGCCTCCTCCTCCTCCTCCTCCTCCTCCTCCTCATCCTCCCTCCTCCTCCTCCTCCTTCTCCTCCCTCCTCCCTCCTCCCTCCTCCTGTCTGGGATCGTATCGTGGCGTCGTCTTCGCCCCAGGAGCTGGAGCGGGCCAAGCCGCCCGACTCCTACGAGGACCCGCGGGACGTGGAGGCGATTGCGCGCGCGGAGGCGACCCTGGGCAACTACCTCCTCAAGACCAGCGACTCCTACCAGGTTCGCCGTGAACCGAGGCCTCCTAAACGGGGTCAGAGTACCTGGGTCGGATGATCGCGTCGCACCGCCGATGCATCGGCGATCGGCTCGATGCGGAGCCAGAATTTCTCCTCGCCGATGGCGCCGATGCATCACCGACGTTGACGTTGCAGATGCAGCACCGATGCATCACCGATGCATCGGCGATGCGTTGGCGATGCCGCGCAATCCTCCGACCCCCTATCTACGCGGACCCCATCGATGAGGCCTCTAATAAAGCAATCGGATCCTGAGTGAAACGGTCGGGCGGGTGGTTATGGGGGGTAACCCAAAGGGGGGGTGAAGAATAGGGCCCTAAAGGGGTCCTTCAGGGCCCCTTTTGGAGCCAGTTGGTGCCCAAAAGGAGCCCCGAGGGGCCCCTTTTGGGCCTCTTCCTGAGCCCCCCATGTGGGCCACCCCCCACTAGCACCCGCCCGAAACGGGTTTTAAGAGTTTCCGCCGTCTTGGGCCACCCTGAGACCTCCACGGGCCTTGTACCTGCTAGGCAGCGGCTCGGGTGGAGAAGTTGGTCCCGGGGGAAGGCCTCGGGGTCGAGGGCCCATTTCCCTCAGGACACGTTTCCTTTGTTGCTACAGTCAACCCGCATAGTAAGGATGGGCAACCCTCCCAAGGGTACCCTTGCATCCTTGCCTCCTCGGTCCGTCCTTGGCGACTTTCGTTGGCTGCGCCCCGCCCACAAAGGGTCGACATGGCTTTCCAAGGCCCTTGCATCCTTATCGCGCATCCGTACTGTACGGGTTGGCTCTACCAGGTGCCAGAGAACCAGCGCATGAACGCGGAGAAGAAGCGCAGGCAGATGTTCCTCCTGGAGGAGTCCATGCACGCCATCAGGACCCTCAAAATGGGCAAGACGATCGTGGCTCTCTGCGCAGCGTCGTCGCCCCCTCTCGCCTTCCTCGGCGTCCGACGGACTGCGATGTCCTCGGTGGTGTGCTCCTGGCGCGCACGCGGGGGAGCCAAACCTTGGGGGGGGGGCACAAAGATCACGGCACGGGACACGCACTGTTTCGGAGAGCCGCGCGGCCGCCGCGGGTCGGCGCTGGGCCCCCCCGCCACCTGCGCTGCCTCCTCGAGGGAGCGCGCCTGCCGCAAACAATGAGTGTCTTTCCCCGCGCCCGACGCGGGCTGGAGGCGGACTCCACGCGGATTTGGGTGGATTCGATGTGGCTTCGGCACGGATCCGACACGGATCCGACGAGTCTGGCATGGATTCGACACGGATTCGACGCGGATGGGGCCGCGACGGGACAGACACAAGGTCCCCCGAAGATGCAGCACGACAACGTCTCGAGGGTCCGCACGGCTTCTCCGGCGCCGCCCCTGGCCCTCGCCGCGCTAGGGGGCCACACGTGAACCCTACCCCCTCCCCCTCGGAAATCGGGGGGGTAGGGGTAGGGTTCACATGTGGCCCCCTACGCGCGCCAGCGGGGGGAGGGGCGGACGGGGTGCGGGGACGGGGTCCTTGGGCAAGTTCGCCACCAGCAAAAGAGGTATCCCGTGACAGACGCATCCCGCCTCTGCAAGGCCTTCGTTGCACAGAGTGTCATTGGTTAATCTTGTTCAGGAAGACATGCAATGTTCCCTCGCCGCATGGATTGCACCACATTTATCTTCCTTACGAGGAAGGAATTCGGATGTACCCCATCCCAGACTTACAGTCGGACCGAGGTCTGCGACCGAGGTCGGTTCGGGGAGGGTACTCTCATGTTCTTCTTGGTTGTTTGATCTTTTTGTAGGTCCTGGGGGGGAGCACCCTTCCATGTTCTGTGTGTTTTGGCCAGCGGAGGGCCTCATGTTCCTGAAGGGTGTTCTTCTGGCCCAGGTCCGACTGGGATACTGCGATCTACATGTGATCATGCCCCATCGCGTATCTCAACCATGAGTTCGCACCATGCCGGGGTGCGCCGTCATCGCCCCCACCCCACTTCCCGACCGCTGTTCCTTCGCGCCCTGGCCCAGCACTCCCCACACGGCTCGTGCACGGAGAGAGCCCCCCGCGTCCCCCAATAACACGCCCGACGAGCCGACTCTCTCTTGTGCAGTCCGCGGCCACAGGCCTCATCCCTAGCCTTGCCCCAGGGGGTCTGGGATGCGGCCGGGCCGTGGTGTAAGAGGCAGGATGGGAGGGGGAAGGGGCAGGGGGAGTGGGGAGGAGGGGCAGGGGAGGAGAGGAAGGAGGGGGAGGGAGAGGGGGGGGAGAGGAGGAGAAGGAGCAGGGGTAGGAGGGGGAGGGCGGGGAGGATGGGGAGGGTGGGTACCCTTGGCGCCTTGGGTGCCAAGAAATGGGCTTCGTGCCTTAATTTTGTGTTCCTTCTGGTCGTGCCTCGATTGTAGGATCGAGGGTCGAAGGGAAGAGGGGGCCCTGAAGAGGCCCCGAAGGTGCACGAGCGGTGACCGTTTCTTGCCCCCCAGCCCCCCGCATGGATCCAGGCCTCCCACATGCGGTCTGAGTTCGGCGTCACCCCCACATACTAATACTATGTGTGCGTCGCCCCCCCAGGGGCGACGCGCGCACCAAGAAATCTTATAGTACATGCGTCGTGGCGGGCGCTTTCTGGCCGCACCGCTGGGGAAATGATCTACTACAAGATGGGTATACTAGTTGTTCGGGTCGGACGCGCGCCTCCAAGGAGGGCATGTAGTACTAGTATGTCTCTGTGCGTCCCATGAGAGTCAGTACGGTCTGACCGTGGTACAAGATCGAGGTCGGTTCGGGGAGGGTGCCCTAGTACCTAGTATGCTTCGTATTTGTCGTATGTTCTTGTCCATCCAGGGGAAGGGTACAGTCAACCAGCATAGTGAGGATGAGCATTTTTCTAACGCTACCCTTGCATCCTTCCCTATTCAGCCCATCCTTGGCCGCTTTCGCTGGCCGCGCCCCGCTCGCAGAGTGTCTGCATGGCCTTCCAAGGCCCCCTTGCACCCCTATCGTGCGTCCTCATTCTACGGGTTGGCCCTCGTGTTCTTCGTGTTGGTCGCACGTTCTTGTGCATTCAGGGGAAGGGTGCCCTCGGTGATCTTTTGGTCTGGGGTGTTTTGGCCGGCGGAGGGTCTCATGCTCTTGAAGGACGTTCCTATGTCCTAGGTCCGGCCGTGCGCTTTTGACGGTCCCGGGGCCCTGTATCCGGGCCCGCATGGTGACGAAGATCTCCGGCGGCCCGTTCGGGGCGCTCCGGGGCGCAGCCGCTGAAACGCATCCCGAGGCAGGAAGACCTCCAGGAGCCGACGAGAGAGCATGCGAAAACCCGTCGCCAGGCTGAGTCATTCCTGATTCGCGTTTCGCTGGAGGGTTCCAATACAGTGGGGACCCATGCCAAGGAACACCCCACTCGCCTCCGGGGTGCCCTGGGTTTCTTAGCTTACGATGGCTTTGCTATGGAACATGTGACGTTCCCAGACCAATAATCAATGGACGTCCTGGGGGTCCGGGGTTGGGTTTCTTGTGGGAGGCTTCTTGTGTGGTCGGGCCTCTAGTGTACTGTAGTGGTAGAAGGACCACTGGAGAGTCCCACAGGGGAGATGGGAAGCCCGAGACCGCCCCCCCCCGGCAGCCGCTTCGGTTGATAATGCATTCGGGATGCGTGCTCTCGCCTCGGCGCTGGCTACATGTCTATCGCCCAGGCGGCCACGTTCCCAGGCGAAGCATACGTCGAGGTTCACATGGCTGTGCGCCCCCTAGGGATGCCCAAGCTTTGCTGGGGCAGTTGGATCACAACTCAGGTCTCCGGCGGCCGTTCGGGCAGATCTGGGCGCTCCTGGGCGCCAGTTGGCGAGGCGCAGCCACTGACACGCATCCTGAGGCAGGATGACCTGTGCACTATACAGGGAACGACGAGATCGTCAGAACAAAAACCCTCCTGGCTCATTTTTGGGGATCGGCCGCGCGGCCGGGACAGCAGATGCCGCAGTTGTGCCTCCTCCCCTTCTCTGTTTGTTCCTCCTCCTCCCCCTCCTCCTCCTCTTCCTCCTCCTCCTCCTCCTCCTCTGCACTGCAGCGTCGTGACCTTGCACGCGCCCGCCCGCGAAGGCGGCCAGGAGCGGCCATCAGAGGCTTGTTTCCCTCTCGGTCTGGGTCAGGGGCTGCGGCCCGCAGGCCGGAGGCGGCTTGAGCACGAGATTTGACCCTCCTTTTCCTCCCCAGACATCTGGCAGCTTGGATTTTTGCGGGGCCCCTCCAAAGGACCGAGTTCAACCTGAGGGTGTTGGCCCTCCGCGACTTCCGACAGCAGGTGGCCTCAGAGGTGCGCCGCGACGCGGAGGCGTTGAGGGAGATCGACCAGCAGCTCGGCCAGGAGTCGCCCTGGCTGGAGGGGTTGCTCGACAAGGCGGCGGGCTGCCGGCCCGAAACGTCGAGGAGGAAGAGGTACCGATATCGCTCGATGTGCGTTCAGGGATGCTTTAGCACCGACATCGAAATCAGCTCTTTATACATGCGAGCCGCATTTGGAACGCATTTGGCCCCTCTTCCTCCTGCTCCTCCTCGCCCCCTATCGTTCTTTTCGTCTCCCTCGTGAAGGCGCGAATCCAGCCCTCCAGATCTGGTCAAGATCCAGTTTCGGATGTGTTCCAAATCGGCTCCACACCAGGCCTAAATCGGACAGCGCGGGGCGTCTATGCTTGTTGGAGTCTGGGCAAGGCTCAGGGAAGGCTGTGGGAGGCAGTCGTGAAGAGTTCTGGGGAGCCGCTTCAGGCTCGGCCCGGGTCGGCGAGCGTTGGACGCAGCTTCGACGCACGAAGGTGGTGGCGGGTGGCTCCAGGCAGGCCCCCCGAATGAGTATCCAGAAGGTCGCAGACGCCCCAAAGTGGGGATGGGTGCTCCAGGACGGCCCCAAAAAGGGACGAATCGACGCCGAATGTGGAATCACTTCCGATGTTTTTTTTGTGTGTGGGGGGGGGGCATGTTCTAGTTTGTTGGGCCGATTTGGAAGGACCGAAAACGCCCGCGCTGCAGCGGGAGCGCGAATTGGAGCAACCAGAGGCGCAGAAATGGGGCCGGGCGGATCTCGGCAGGAGAAACGGATGTCAAGCGGGTTTCATCCAGTCGGGGACTGAGACTTTCAACACGTCCGCATGGACATCACGGCGTTCTTCGCTCGCCATGTTGAGGGGGTCCACGCGCAGAAGTCAGCACAAGTGTTCGCGGCAGCCCGTCTGCAAGACAAGAGCCGTGGCGGATCGCGGCGCCTGGGCCGCCTCCTCGGGTCTTTCTTGGCCCTCTGCTCTGCCCCTCCTGGGGCTCTCCCGGCGATCTTGGAGCCATCAAGGGGCTTTATCACCGCCCACCAAACCACCCCAACCCAACCCGAAGGCCCAAATTTATTCTCGATTTCCAGTGGGGGGGGGGGGGGTCGGGGAACATGGAAAAAAACATGGAACCCGTACCCCCCCCAACCCGAAATTCGGGTCAAATTCGGGTCTTCGGGTTGGGTTGGGGTGGTCTGGTAGGTAGCCACCTCAGAGGCCACTTGGAAGCGAAAGGCGAGAGTGCAATTGTGGTCGACAATGCGACAGTTTTGACAGTTCTTCTGCTTCTCCGGGGCTTCCTCGGGATGCTCCAGGGCCACTTGGAGCCGCCTTGGGGCAGTCGTTGGACCTCTTGGGGGCATGCTGAAGGGGATCTTGAGCCAACTTGAACCATCTTGTGCCTGATTCGAAGCCGCAGCAGGGTTCCTAAGGTCAAACTTAAGCCATCTTGCGCCAGAAGTCTCCCAAGGATGCCTCCGAGATGCCCAAATAATTACCGTTTTATGCTTGATCAGGATGCCTTTTGGAAAGGAGGGAGGCCCTAAGCTTTCTTGGGGTGCTCTTGGGGTGCTCGTTGTGCCTTTCCGGCACATGTCTGAGTGCCAAAGATCTTCGGCGTTCTTGGAGCCATTCGGATGCCCCAGAGACCCATTGGAAACGAATCGGCGAGAGTGCACTAATCACTGACATGTTTCTTCAGCTGTTGCTGGATGTTAGCCTTTCTTGGGTATCCTTGTGACGGTAAGTGGCCACCTGGATCCGTGTCAGGGCAGTCTTGGAGTGTTTTGTGATATCTTGGAGGCCATCTCGAGCTAGTTGGAGCCATCTTGGAACCATCTTGGGCCATCTTGGACGATGTGACTCTGAGATCCGACGTTGCAAGCAATCTGCAGCATGGCGAGCAATTGCGACTGGAGCCCCAGATCCAATCTTTTTGCACTTCTCCGAGTCGGGTTGATCTGCGAGGGTCCCGGGCGGGGCCCGCAGCCGGGCGAAGACGCCGGGTGTGATACAAAAAAATGCATCGCCTGGATCCGAGGGGGCCTCTCACACCTCGCGCCTCCAACCCCAGTCTTAACCCAGAGGAGGTTACTTTGGCATCTTCGGGGGGGCTCTCCCTGGCTTGAACATGGCAGTATGTCCTTATACTCCGACGCGGGCTCGACGTGGGCTCGGCGCGGATTCGGCACGGACTCGACGCGCTCGACATGGATCCGCGACACGGATCGCTGGCGCGATGGGACAGACGACGTCCCCCGAAGATGCCACATAAGAGAGGGACTTCCCCCAGTCAGGCGGGCGAACCCCTCCAGCTGACCGCTGGCCAAGATCACGGCTGGAACCCCAGATCCGATCTTTCTGCCCATTTTTCCGAGGCGGGTTGATCTGTGAGGGTCCCGCGACCACACCCCCCACACAAGGGTTCCGCCTCTTGTTATGCGATCTCGGGCGCAGACGAAGCTTGTACTGACCCTGACCCACAGTTTGGGCGCCGCAGCGAAACTTGCCACTGAGATTGATCAGCGCGAGGGGGCGGCATGGTCTGACACCATCCCGGGGCGCGTGTCGGATAGGTGCTGGGCTCCCAGGGCTTTCCACGGGCCCCAAACTGCGCTAGAAAAACCAAGTCCGCGAACACAGCCAAGTCCACAACACAAGGGAGGGACTTCCCCCAGCAAGGTTGGCGAGCCCCTCCCGTCGACCGCCGGCCGAGAGGGCGGCGCGCCTCCCGGGCGGCCCCAGAGGGGGCCCCAGAGGCGGCCCGCGGCAAGACGAGACGAGACGAGGACACCAGGCAAGACTCAGACCCCCAGAGTTCCGTCGTCTCGAACAAATCAAGACGGCGGTTTTTCGCAAAGTTCGGCCCACAGGGGCCCTCGCCGGGCCTCAGGACCGTCAAAAAACGATTCAGGATGAAAAACCGGTCCTGGGGAATTGCTCGAGGCTTCCAGGGACCCCGTATTGAAAAAAACACGACATCGGATCTAAGGGCCCCCTCGAGTCAAGAGAAGACTGCAACGGGAGGTCTTCCGCCTTTTTCGGCCTCCGGGGGCCCTTACTGGGCCTCGGGGCCGTCAGAGAACGTCCCAGGATGACAAACGGGTCCCATGGACTGGGTCGAGACCTCCGGGGGTCGACGTTATGAGAAAATCATGACGGCGGGGGTTTGGGAAGACGAGGCATGACCTGACAAGACACGCCCAGACAGCCTCCAGGTCGGCCCAAAGATGGCCCCAAGCCGCCCCGAGAGGACCCCCGAGATACATTCCCATAGGAAATGGTTGTCCTTGCCTTCTCGACTTTGCCCCGGTGGCCCCAAGAGAACCGCAATGGGTCCCCAAGATGGCCTCAGATGGGCTTCTCTCCGCGTGGCTGGGCGAGGGAAGAAGTTCTCCTGCCGTGGGTGCACTCAGGGGGAGGGGTCAGCCCCTTCCCCGAGGGGGGAAGAGGTAGGCTGGAAGAGGAAGCGCTCCTGACCCCCTGCGCCCAGGGCGGCTGGTGGGGGGTTGAGGCGACCTGGCCCACATGTGATGAGCGGAGGGGTTATGGGGGAGGAGGAGGAGGAGGAGGAGGAGGAGGAGGAGGAGGAGGAGGAGGAGGAGGAGGAGGAGGAGGAGGAAAAAATTGAGGTGGGGGGGGGGTAAAGGACCCGGACATCCCATGTCTTGACAGTTTCGGTGTGCAGGGTTCCCGGAGGCCCCGACCCCTTCCCCAGGCCCAGGCATCCGGCTGTCTCAGTTTTTTCGATGCATGGGCCAGTTTTTGTCGACGCATGGGCCCCAATCTTATCGACGGGAGGTTCTTCGCTACTCTCGGCCTCCAGGGGCCCTCGCCGGGCCTCGGGACTGCCAAACATAGCGACCCAGGAGGAACCACCGGCCCCCGGGAAGGGATCTATATAGGCTCCTGCAGGGCCACGGGGCCAAACTACCCAGACCCCCGACGTCATGATTTTTTCATGACGTTGACCCCAAGCGGTCTGGACCCATTCCCCAGGACCGGTTCTTCGTCCTGAGTCGTTTTTTGACGCTCCCGAGGGCCGGTAAGGGCCCCCGGAGGCCAAAAATAATGAAAAACCTCCCGTCGTGATTTTTTCATGACTCGAGGGGGTCTGGGTATGACGACGTCGGGGGTCTGGGGCCCTCGAGGTCCGGACCACTTCCCCAGGGCCGGTCTTCCGTCCTGCGTCGGGCTTTCGACGCTCTCGCGGGCCCCCGCGGGGGCCCCCGGAGGCCGACGCCGGCGAGCAGCCGCCCTGCCCTGCAGTGGTTTCGGAGCGCCGGATCTGCGGGGGGCGCCGAGAGCGGCACGAGCATCCTGTCGGGCGTGGCCCCCCCTAGAGGGGGATTTTTCGGCGAGCAATGAAACATACTCCAACAATGCCCCAAAAAGGTCTATTGTTTAAAAAGAATAGTCCCCAGACTACTTTTGGATTTTTGTTTAATAAACAAATATAAAATAAGAAAATCGTCGAAAACCCCCATGTAGGGGGACACGCCCGACTTAACACGAGCAGGAGGGCCCCCGCCGTGTTTTTTGGGTCTTCTCCCGCGGCGCGAGCAGGCATGGGCCGCCCGCCGCCCTCCCCGGGCCGGGCACCACGACCAGTCGGTCGTCGAACGTTCGGGGGCTGCCAACCCTGACCTTCCAGAGGAGTGCTAAAAAATAGCCCTCCAAACCCAGACGTATATATATATAGAGAGAGAGAGAGAGAGAGAGCTTTCTGGGCTGCTTAAACCCGACAGGAACTTAGATGTCGAGATCCTGGTGATATGTTTTGAGCCCTCCTGGAAGGTCAGGGAAGGGTGCCCCTGGCCCAAGGTGCTCCCAGCTGTTCGCCCGATTTTTGAGCCCCTGGGACACTCTGGGCCTCGTGAGGGGTGCTCTGGACTCTGGGGGCTTTGGGGGCCTTCTTGGAAATCATGGGGGCACCTTGGACCAGGGGCACCTCTAGAAACACCCGAAAAGTATGTACTTTCTCAACTTTGGCTGGGTCCAAGGGGTTCTTACTTGGTTAAAGGTTGGTGCCTCGGGGGGCCACTTTGCCCATTGTCAGGAGGTTCCCTGAGTTCCCCGGGTTCCCTGAGTTCCCCGGTGCCTGCGATCCTTACGGTGCCCGTTGCTCGGAGGTTCCCCGGGTTCCCCGGGTGCCTCATGCCAAGCAATGTCAAGCATTGCGCCCATCCAATAGGAAGATTGCCCCTAATTGGCGTCGCGCCGGGTTCAGAATCGGCATGGTTTCTGGTGTGTTTTGCTGGATTTAATCTACTGCATCTGCATTCCTACTCCATGTGTTACCACTTCTTCCGACCGACGTGCAAACATAATACAACCACGAACCCGAATATCACAGTGAACTCATGGCCTAAGTTTGGTTCTCAGTTTCTGGGGCTCTCCCTGAACATGTGGGTGGTTTCGTCTGAGACAGTTGAAAACAAAAGGCCCCCTATCCCTGATATTTTTTGCCCCCCTAACTTAGGTCCCCTTCCACATCGTCAGGGGTCCCTTCCAAACCCCCGACGTCATGGTTTGTTCCTAACGTCGACCCGCAGAGGTCCGGACCCATCTGCCCGGGACCGGCTCGTCCTCCCGAGTTCTTGTTTGCCAGTCCCAGGGCTCGGCGAGGGCCCCCACCCTGGAAGACACATCTAAAGATCTAGGTTGCTTGCTCATTTCAAATTTCCCCAGTGGCAGCTGCCTTCGGAGGGACCGCATGGTATCTAAAACTCCTCTCTGAGTAATGTGCTTTACAGCGTTTCCATGAATAGAACTAGATCTGATTTTTACAGCGTCTTCATGAGTGAAGCTAGATATGAACAGATCTGTTTCAAACTAGATGCGTTTAGCTACGACTTCTTTTTTAGATACGGGAGGTATGTGTTCTGCAAAATTTTAGAGACGGGGTCATTTTTAGATACAAAGGGATTTGTTTAGATATGTTTAAATACGGTTCCATATGGCGCCCATCGCTGGAAAACATGTCCACCAAAAATAGATGCGAATTGATACGGCGCCATGTCTCCACTGCCAGGCCTAGGCTGCTCAATGACCACGAACAGGGAAGACAGTCCACATGCCAGTCAGGACGACGATAATGAGGAGGAGGAAGAGGAGGAGGAGGAGGAGGAGGAAGTGAAGTGGGAAATCATGGACGGCGGGCGAGCCGAACGATCATTTTCTTCAATCGCTGATCGACTTCTTCCCCGTCCTGACTCACCCTCCTCCACGTTAACCTCTTGACGCTCCCTCCAACTCCACCTCGCTCCTCTTGCCTCCTCGCAGCGGGTCCTGCTCCTCCTCCTCCTCGTCCGCGCTCATCGTCCGAATGGCTCCTTCTCCTCCTCCTCCTCCTCCTCCTCCTTCTCCTCCTCCTCCTCCTCCTCCTCCTCCTCCTCCTCCCCTCCCTCCTCCCCTCCCTTCTCCTCCTCCTCCTCCTTCTCATCCTCCTCTTTGCTCTCCCCATCCTGCGGCTCCCCGTTCCCACCCAGTTCTCTCCTATCCATCCCACACCTCGTCGTTTTTGTCGTCGTCGCTCGTCTCCTCACTCCTCATCGATACGGCTTCCCACTATCCCCATCACGTTGTTCATTGCTTCGACCAATATCATGGATTGTGCTCGCGCCGAGAGCAAAGCCATCAGCATTCGTTCTGACAGGAATTAGTTACGAACAGATACGACGCGGCAGTGTCACTCTCTGGAAATTAGATACTAGTGTATATATATATAGATATGTTTGCTGGAAGAAAAACGGATGCGGCTCTAAACTTTTAGAGATGCTTGAACAATAGATCCGTTTAGATACAGCGGCGCTCCGGTGCAGGCCTGGGGCGCGCATCTACACACCATATCTAGATTGTCGCCGTTGCAGAAAAATAGATACGATGGGCTCCTCGCCTGCGCCTGGGCGCGATCGCCTCTAAACGCATCTATCATTGTGATTTACATCGTGCAGGGCAGAGGCCGAAAGCAGCGGGAAACTTCCCGTCGTGATTTTTCCCATGTCTCGACGGGGAATCCCTTGGCCTCCCCTGGCAGAGGACCCGGCCGCGCCGCCCGAGTTCCCCGAGCGGCGCTTCGACTTCGGGGACGCCGAGCTCCGGGAGTTCGGCCGCCGGCTGGCCGGGGGCGCTGAGGCCGGGGAGGAGGCGGCCGCCGAGGCGGAGGCCCGGGGCCCGCCCTCCGAGGAGGGCCAGGAGGGCGCCGCCGTGGACTCCGAGGAGGAGGAGGATCTGTAGGCCTGCGAGATGGGGTCGGAGCAAATGGGGTCGGAGGCTCGCGCCGCATCGCCGATGCGGCTCGATGTCGAGCCCGATTTACTTGTACGTCGACGTCGCCGATGCATCGCTGACGTCGACGATAAATCGCCGATGCATCGCCGATGTACCAGCGATGCGGCGCGATCCTCCAACCCCATCCACTCCGACCCCATCTCGGAGGCCTTTAGGATCGGCACCACCCAAACGTACAGTCAAGACTCTGAAATAACCCTGGGAGCCAGGCGTCCCAATATTCTTTCGAGCCGGGCGTTGTCGCCTTAGTTCTGGGCCCAGGACCCCTAGAGATCCATCCGGCTCGCAAAGTGGCGCCGAAGAATGATGTCTAGGGCTCTGGGCGTGTTTTTTGTTGCGATGCTGAATTTTTCGCTACGTCGGGTGCCAGGCAAGGAACAGGATGGGTTCGGAAGGTGCTCGCTGTTTCTTAGGTGTTTCTTTGGCTGCTCCTCTACTCTCGTTCGTGCACCCAGGCGCTTCTGGGGCCTGAAAGGGGCTTCTCTCCTCATGTTTAGCGCTCCTTCTGGTAATGCCTCGATTAGATAAGAGGAGAACCGGCACGATCGACATGGGTACGGAAAGGATGGGCACGAAGACCGACAAGAGTTCTTGTCCATTCTGAACCCGGCCCGCTGTCGGCGTCGCCGTGGACCTGGTCCATTCGGGGCAGGAAGCCGCCTGTTCAACAGCGGCCGCTGTCAGTTGTGAGCGGTTTTGGGCAACATCTGCTCTTGGGCATGGTACGCATTTTCTTCGTACCCATTTCGGGCGTCCACAGAGGAGGGTATCGGCATCTACTCCGAGGAGGAGGGGAAGCAGGAGGAGGAGGAGGAGGAGGAGGAGGAGGAGGGGGGTCGGCATCACAGTGAGCACGTCTGCCGCGCAGTGGCCACGCGCGCGCGCGATCAGAAGTCTTACTCAAGAGGCTCACACGCCTCCTCCTCCTCCTCCTCCTCCTCCTCCTCCTCCTCTTCTTTGTCTCGTCCTCCTCCTCCTCCTCCTCCTCCTCCTCCTCCTCCTCCTCCTCCTCCTCCTCCTCCTCCTCCCCCTCCTTCCCCTCCTCCTCCCCCAGAAGAGGAGGTGCGGCTTCCGATTTCCTGTGTGCTTCCTGCGTGCAGTTGTCGCCGGTTCGTCCTCCTCCTCCCCAGCGTGGTCTGCGGGGCTCCTCGGGGGCCGCCTTGGAGGCGCAGAAGGGGGCACCTCCGACAGCTTTTGTCGCAACGTGTGCGTCGGCCCTGCAGGGGCCACGCTCGCGCTCACAGAGATCTTCTAGTACAGGCTCGGTGGCAGGCGTTTTCTACAGTCAAAAACCCCAAGAAGGACGCGCGACTTTGCTCAGGGTACCCTTGCGTCCTTGCTCTTCCTTGCTCTTGCGTCCTTGAGGTTTTCGTCGTCCGCCGCCCCAAAATCCCAACTTCGGCTTCCAAGGGTCTTGCGTCCTTACCGCGCGTCCTTATTAGGGTTTTTGACTGTATCCATACCGCCTGGGCAAAGATTTGCTGCAAGATGTTTGTGCTGCGTGCTCGGTCTGGGCGTACGCCTCCAAGGAGGGCGCATTGTTCTAGCATCCGAGGAGGGCGCGTAGTGCTAGTTAGGCCCCGTCCCTGGGTGCGTGGCTGCAGTGTGATTCCGCGACGCGGATGCTTGTTGTTGTTGTTGTTGCTGCTGCTGCTGTTGTTGTTGTTGTTGTTGTTGTTGCTGTTGTTGTTGGTGTTGGTGTTGGTGTTGTTGGTGTTGGTGTTGGTGTTGGTGTTGTTGTTGACGACGCCGTGTTTCAGAGGCCCCCTTGGGGGAGGGGGGGGGTCGCACCGCACCGCGCGCACCGTACCGGGCGCACCGCACCGCGCGCACCGCAACGCACCGCACCGCGGGGAATCCTTAGGCATCTTACAAGGAATCCCTCGGGAATCCTCTGGAAACCCTAGGGAATTCCTAGGGCGTCCTACGGAATCCTTCGGAATCCTTAGGGAGCCCTTACGAATCCTTAGGGAGTCGGGAGTAATCCCTAGGGAACCCTACGGGATCCCCAGTAGGAAGGGGTCCCCAGGGAACCCTCAGAAATCCCTAGGGAATCCTCCGGAATCCCTATGGAATCGATGATAACAACGATGATGATGGTAATGCGAATGATGATAATAATGACGATGCTGATTATGCTGAGGTCGATGACGAATATGATGGTGGCGATACTGTTAGTGTTGATGGTGATGATGGTGGTGAACATGATGACTATGAAAATGATGGTGACTATGATGATGCTGGGGGTGACTATGATGATACTGACTATACCGATGATGGTGCTGACATGATGAAAGTGCTGACCATGATTATGATGTTGCGAATGGTGATTTGATGATGGTACTGGCTATGAAGAAGAGTATGATGCTGATCGTCGTACTGGTGACGACGGTAATGATGATGCTGACGACGAGTTGATGATGATGATGATGATGATGATGATGGTGGTGGTACTGGTGACGGCGATAATGACGATGCTGACTACGATGTTGATGATCATGGTGATGATGGTGGTGGTGCTGGTGATGGCGATAATGATAATGCGGGCCACGATGATGATGATGATGGGTGTCCTGGTGACGACGATAATGATGATGCTGACTACGATGGTGATGCTTATAGGATGACGACCATGGAGTTGATGATGGTATTGGCGAAGATGCTGTGGTGGTGACGATGATTATAATGATGGTGATGACGATGATGATTATTGTGATGATGGCGATGACGATGACGATTATCATGATGATGGCGATGACGATAATGGCCAGCATGACCATGGTGATGACGATGCTGATCATTTTGACGATGGTGATGACGATGGTGATGGCATTGGTGATGCTACACCTCGAACAGGATTCTATTAGGGTGGATATACCTCTAAAGCTGGATTCTATCAGGGGTGGATACACCTCTACTAGGATTATATTCGGGGTGGGTACAACTCTACCAATCGGATTCAATGAAGAGAGTATACACCTCTAGCGCTGGATTCTATCAGGGGTGGATACACCTCTAGTAGGATTCTATTAGGCGTGAATACACCTCTAATCGAATTTCATGAGGAGTGGATGCACCTCTATTTGGAGTGGGTACACCTCTGGTAGGATTCGATCAGGGGTGGATACACTTCTAATCAGATTCTATTTGGAGTGGATACGCCTCCAGAAAGATGTTATTCGGAGTGGGTTCGCTTTCAAATGGATTATATTGGGGGTGGGTGCACTTCTAATAGGATTCTATTCGGAGTGGGTGCACTTCTAATATGTTTCTGTGGGGGGTGGATGCCCTGCGCATTTGATTTTCATCGGTCGAATACACTTCTAGTAGGATCTGATTGGGGGCGGATGCACCCCTACTAGGATTTTAGCATGGGTGGATACACATCGGATACTGTTAGGAGTGGATGCGTCTCTAAGGGCATTCTATTAGGGGTGGATGCGCTATCAATGGGATCCTGTTAGGCGAGCGTGTGCCTCTAATCAGAGCCCATCAAGAGTGGATACACTTCGAGTAGGATTCTAGTAGGGGTGGATACACCTTTCATAAGATTCCATTAGGAGTGGGTACACTTCTAATATGATGTTCTTTCGTATTGATACACCTCTACAAGGAATCTATTCGGGGTGGATGCACCTCCACTAGGATGTTATTAGGAGTGGATGCGCCTCTCATAGGATTCTCTTAGGGGTGGCTGCACCTCTGATGGGATTCTTTTAGGGGTGGATACACCTCTAATAGGATTTTATGAGGAGTGGATGCACTTCTAATCGGATCTTATATGGGGTGGATACACCTCTAGTCGGATTCTATTAGGGGTGGATACACCTCTCATCTTATTTTGTATAGTGGATGCGCTTCTAAAACTGGGTGATATTTGGGGTGGATACACTTGTACTCGGATTCTATAAGGGGTGTGGAAGTGCGGTGCGGTGTGGTGCCCCGTCCCCCAAAGCCCCGAGGGAGCCTCTGATTGCCGGTGTTCCTCTTCTGGAAGACGACGGGTAAGCGAGTCTCTGGGCATGGGGCCCAGAACGCCAGTGTTGCCTTGTTGTTGTTGCTCTTGAATGTTCATTATTGAACAATGATTATTCCTGGACCCCCCCCAGGCGCTTTGACGCTCTCGCCCCGGCGCCTGCTACATTTTCATTGAAAATGAGGCTCAAGCTCGAGCGGTTTGGGGGGGCGCTAAAGCCGACCCCCCAACAACAACAACGCTTCCGCTCGAGACCTCCTCCTTCTTTGCTCGGGGCCGGAGCTCTTGCTCGCCGCCGTTTGACCTTGGACTGGCGCGTTACTCTTTCTCTCATCGGCGCCACACCCAGCAACAATAACGCTCCCACTCGAGACTCGCCCCCTTTTTTACTCAAGGCGGCGCTCCTCCTCGCCGCCGAAAACCGCCGTCCCGACAGAACCAGCGCTCCCGCCCGAGACATCCTCCCGTTTTACCGTGGATACTCTCTTTCGAATCGGCGCCGCTCCCAGCAAGAACAATGCTCCCGCTGTTCCTCGCCGCCGACAGCCCCCGTCCGGACAAACCACGGTTCCCGCTCGAAACTTCCTCCCTTCTTACTCAAGGCGGTGTTCCTCCTCGCCGCCGACAACCGCCGTCCAAACAAAACCAGCGTTCCCGCTCGAGACTTCGTTTTGTTGTACGCTGTACTAGCGCCCTACTCTCTTCAGCATTGGTGCCGTTCCCAGCAACAGTAGCGGCCCTGCTCGAGACTTCCTTTCTATTCGGGGCCAGGTCCTTGCCTCGCCGCCGACAGCCCCCATCCCCACCAAGGCAATCGTGTCGTTCGATACTTCTTTGTGCTTTACCGTTGGCTGGGGCTCCACTGGCGGTCTCGCATCGGCGCAGCAAGCAAGGCGTGGGCATGCGTTTCCGAGGCGGGATATGCTGAAATTCTTCGGATGAGGCGTTTGCAAGACCTCATTGGGCGGGGGATCTGGGAATGGGAATAACGGACCCCGCTATAAAACAACAGTCCCCCATGATGGGGATGGTTATCATGATGGTCGCATGCTTCGTGTGGAAACATCGCGCATAAGGGTAACATGATAGTTGTTGTTGTTGTTGTCGTCCCCCTCACGACCCACCCGTCGCCCACCCGTGACCCACACGCGACCCACCCCGCGACCCACCCCGCGACCAACCCGCGACCCATCCCGCGACCCACCCGCCTCCCAACTGCACTGCGTTGACCAGAAATCGGCGCCTGCGGCGAGCTCAATCAAATTTGGTGTCAAGCCTCGCAGACTGCCGATGATCCTCCCCCCGCTCCCTCGACCTTATCCGCGATTGTAGGGGCTATGGCTATGGTGCTGCAGCCCAGACGCTGGCATAAGGACTGCTTTGGGTTCGGAAGGGGCTCGCTGTTCCTTAGGTCATTCCGTGGTTGTTCCTCTAGCCTCTGGCCCTCCTCGTGCACCCAGGCTCTTCTGGTGCCAAAGCGGGGCATCGCTCCTCACATTTAGCGTATCTCCCTTCGGCAGCCTGACTGCAGGTAAGATGGTCTCACCCAGACCCCCGACCTCATGTTTTTTGTTTCCATGTCGCCGACCCCACGAGGTCTCGACACATTCCCTGGGACCGGCTTTTCGTATCTTGAGCTGTTTATTGACGGTCCCGGGGCCCGGCGAAGGTCCCCAAAGGGATCACACACGACGGACAAGCCTATCGTGACCCGAGGCGTCATGACCTGAGGGGATCTGGGTTCTCCTGCGTCCCAAGGATCAGGAAGGCACTTCTCGGGTTGGGAGGAAGGAGGACATCATTGCCGTCAGGCGGCCCAAGTTATCCTTCGCTGCATCGGGATGCTATTGTTCATGCCCTCCAGCCTCCCAACCCCTTCCTCCCAACGCGATCACGGTTCTCCCCAAAGGAGGACGAGGACGAGGAGCTCGAGGACGAGGAGGACGAGGCCTCGGGCGAGGACGGCGCCGGCGGCGAGGAGGAGGCGGGGCGGCGGGCCCGGCGGCGGGGCGGCGGGGCGGCGCAGAGGGCCACCCCCAGCGGCAGGGGCGCCAAGGACGCGGCCGAGGCCCCCCCGCTCCTCCCGGGGCGGAGCGCACCCGCAGGGCCCAGCTCGACTCGAAGGGGCCCAGGCCCCCTTCGAATCTTGGAGCCAAGAGATAAGCGACTCCCCGAGATCCTGGCCTTGCAGTGTTGTCTGGCCAGGCGTTTCTGCTCAGTGTCGGGCCCCCTGGGGCCCTCACAGATCGATCTGGCCCGAAAAATGGCGCAGAAAGATGGAGTCTAGGGCTCCGGAAGTGATTTTCCACGATGTTTCAATGTTCTCGCGCCGTCGGACCTCACGGCTGGATGCGCCTCTACATGTTCGGCCTCTGGGAGACCTCTTCGGGGCCGGAACCGTCCACAGACCTTTTCGGGACGAGAAGCTGGCCCCAAGGGGTGAGCCATGGAAAAAAAACACTCTCTCCGGCGCGGCACGGCAAAAGGCCATCAGCACGGGCGCTCGAGCCGTTCGGGGCGCTCGGCAAGCGAGCTGTCCGGCTGCAGGGGGAGGGGCGCGCGGGGATAGGAGCGGCCGCGGAGGCCAGGAGGGGGGGGGGGAGGGCCCTCGCCGCGGAGAGCATGTCAGGGCACGCCTCGTGGAGAAAAGCACGATATGATGAGGATTTTCGATACTGTCGGCCTCTGGGAGACCTCGCCAGGGCCCAGGGCCGTCAAACATTACTCGGGGCAGGAAGCTTGTCTCGGCGAGCGGGTCGAGACTTCGGAGGGTCGACGTGATGAACAAGTCATGACGTCGGGAGTCTGGACGATTCGATTCGATTCGACTTCCGACCGATGCCGATCCCAGTTCGCTTCGACATCGGATTTGGATCTCGGCTTCTGGGCGGAAGCCTCACCAGCCAGCCTGGTTATGCCGATTGAACCTCTCCCGATCTGGCTCCCGATTTCCTGCGATCCGCTCCTCGGGGCTGAGCAGCTCCGCGGTTGACCGTATGCGGGCAGCTTGCGCGCCAACGTCAGCGCAGTCGACCCCTGTTCTGCTCCGTCGCTGGCCTCAACGACGCAGGAACACCGGGTCCTCCGCGCCGACATTGGCGCGCAAGCTGCCCGCATAAGGTCGCGCGTAAGCGCCCTCGTCTCCAATGTAGCGTGCCGCGCCGGCGGCCCGCGCAAGTTGCCGCGTAAGGTCGCTATGCCATCTCGCGTAAGACCCGGTTTTGATCGTCGCTCACCTGCTGGCGCAAGCCGCGGAAGGCCAGCACCCCGAGAAGGAGCTTTGTGGTCCTTCGGCCAGGGCCCCGCAACACACATATCGGCCTGGCGAGGGGCTCTCGGACGTTTTCGTGGGTTTCTTTGGTGGCAAGTCATGGGAGCCTGGTATACCTTCTGAGGTATGCTTTTAGTGTCGACTAGCGTCTGCGTGTCGATGAGATAGCGCCGATCTAGCGTCGGTTAGCGCCGACTGGCGTCGATTTAGCTTCGGTTAGCGTATACTAGCGTCGATTGGCGTCGATTCGCAAGATCCGACAAGATGGTATGGGAGGCGCCCGTGAGTTGCCACCGAAGGTTCCTGGAGGTCTTCCTGCCACGGGATGCGTTCCGGCGGGACTGAGAGACTTCCTGAGATCCTTGCGTTGCAATTGTTTCGACCCCGTCGTTTCGCCCAGTGTCGGGCCCCGGGACCCTCACACATCGATCCGGTTCGGAAAATGGCTGAGACAAATGGAGTCGATCTTCTAGGGCTCCGGTCGTGATGCGTTACGATGCTTCAATTTTTCGCGCCGACGGGTTTCAGGGAAGCCCACACCTCAGACGACACGGCCCGGAACTTTGGGATGGCGTGTGGCTCCGCTGGATCCGACCCACCGCGCTGTGGCGCGACACGCTATCCACGCCGCGGTCCCCCAGCGTCCACGTGCCGAGCTTCTGCGAGCCTCCCGCCCCACGGAGCGGAAGGGCACGCTGCTGTCCGGTTGCAGCTCCCAGCGTGTCGCCGGGGCCTCCGCGGCGACACGCGAAGCAGCAGTTCTCCCGACCGCACCCCGGCACAGCCTCGATGTCCGACGACCTGTTTGTTTCGATCCCGGCGCTGTATTCCTCGGTGTCGGTTTATGGGGGCCCCTCACTGCTGAGCCCCCGGAGCATCAACGACGGAGCCGGGACGAAAGTCTTCCCCCTTAGGGCCGGTCTCGGGAGCTCTGGGACCGCGGATTGAAAGGTATGGACCCCAGCAAAGCACCTCGATAGCAACAGAGGCGAGGAGGCACGTGAATGGGGCAGGAGGTCAGCTCGTGAGCACGAGCATTCCCAGGTATTCTTGTAGGCCATCGAGAATAAAAGAGCCCTTTTTGTCTCCTCTATCTCCTCCTCCTCCTCCTCCTCCTCCTCCTCCTCCTCCTCCTCCTCCTCCTCCTCCTCCTCCTCCTCCTCACCCCCCCCCGAGGTCCCCAGCGCCCGGCCGGCTGCGGCCGCGGTCTCGGGCCGGGCGGCGCTGGCGGCGCGGCGCGTGGCGCGGCTGGCGCTGCGGGCGGGGCTGCTGCGGGGCGCCGCGGGCGGCCTCGGCCGCGCGGTGGCCTCGGAGATGGAGGCGCTCGGTGCGGCTGCGCGGAGTGCAGGAGGAGGAGAAGGAGGAGGAGGAGGACGAGGAGGAGGACGATGAGGAGGAGGAGGAGGAGGACGAGGAGGAGGAGGAGGAGGAGGAGGAGAAGGAGGAGAAGGAGAAGAAGGAGGAGGAGGACGAGGACGAGGAGGAAGAGGAGGAAGGGAGGAGGAGGAAGACTAGGAGGAAGAGGAGGAGGAGGAGGAGTATAGGAGGAGGCGGATCCTCCGCCAGCCAGTGAGGCTCAAGGGCACCGCAGGCGCCCCCCGCGATCCGCAGCAGAGCAGCCGCAGCATGCATGCTGGTGGTGGAGGCATGCTGGTGGTGGAGACCCCCGACGCAGCGTTCCTGGGCCAGCTGGGGGTGTCGATGGACATCGCGGGGCCCCTCTTGACGCGGCGCCACAAGTCCCATATGAAGGCGCTCGGGGCGCCAGGGCGGGGCGGCTCGGCATGGAAGAGGGCGCTCACGAAGACGACCACGAACCTGCTCGAGGCGGAGGCCATCCGCACGACGGACCCGGGGAGGATCGAGAAGATCTTGGCCGCCTACGTGCACACCGTGTACTTCAACGAACGCGTGCCCATCGCCTCTCGGCGCGAGGTAGTGCGCGAGGCGCTGGACGCCTGGGCACAGGGCCGCCGGGGCCGCAGCCTCACGCGGAGGGGCGAGCGCCTGGCCGCAGCGTCGCCCGACGAGCCCGATCCACCAGCTGACCCGCGGCGCCTCCCGACCCCCGCGCACCGAGCCACCAACCGGCGCCGCGGCCAGTGCCGCCGCAGGCCCACCGGCAGGCGCTCCCACAGGCCCCACCCCGGAGATGCCTGAGGCGCCCCCACGCAGGCACCCAGAAGGAGACGGATGAGGAGCGCGGCGCAGCACCGGCAGCGCACGGAGCTCGAGCAGCGAGCCGCCTGGGAGCGCGACCGCGCGGACGCGGTCATAGTCTTAGAGATGTTTGACGGCGCTGGCCTCCACGGGGCATGGGGCGCCCTTGACCGCGAGATCGGCGTCGAGAGCGCGCCGGCCAACACCGCCCTGCCATGGGCCCTGGCGCTCAACGGCGGGGCGCTCGCCCAGGTCGGGGCTGACGGAGCGGCCCGGCCCCGCCTGGGCACCGGCTCCGCCGGCGCGGCCGAGACGGCGGCGGCGACCTCGACAGGGGCACCCAGCTGCCGCGAGCAGCGGGCCAGCGAGCTCCAGGCCGCGGCCGCGAGCAACCCGCTCGGGTGGTTTTCGCTCGGGGGGGAGATCGTCTCGGCGCTGATCTCCGCCTGCCCCCCAGGGTGCCCGCTGGGTGGGCTTGCGAGCGCAGACCAGGGGCTGCGCCGAGAGGATGAGGCAACGCTCGCCGCATGCGCGGCGCCGCTGGAGCAGGCGGCGCGCGAAGCCGCACTGAGAGCTGGGACGGCGGCTGCGTGGCGACCGCGCCTCGCCGACTTGCGCGGGCGCGCCCCGCCCCCTGCGCCTGTCGGGCAGACGGCAGACGCGGCGCGGAGGCTCTTCCCTGCGACGGCCGCACTGGGTTGGCGTCTCCACATGGTGACCGAGAGCCCGGCGGCGCGGCTCCCGAGGCCCCCGCGCCAGCGGGGGGGCGCGCGGCCGCGGCGACGGCGAGCGCGCTCGACTTCGGACGCAGCGGCGGCTCGGAAGTCGGCGGGGCGGCGATCCTCGCCCAGCGGCGGGGCGTCGTGGGCGTGGCAGTGACCGAGCCTGGCGCCGAAGTGGTTCTTTGGGATCTCCTGCCGCTGCCCCAGCGACGTCGACTTGTCCGCGGCGGCCCCAGCTCCCCGCGCACCCGCCGCGGGCCGCGGGCGCAGCACTGCGGAGCGGTAGCGGTCCACGCAGGCAGCGCCGCGACCGACAGAGTGCCCCGCATCCCTAAACGGTCGGGCGGAGCTGGCACGTGCAGGGTGTAAACAAGGGAATCCGATTACTGGCGCGGCATTAGCATCCCACCCTGCGAGCGGGAAATCAACGTGCACCGCCGCAGGCAGCTGGTCCGCGAGCTCCGGCCCGAATGCGACCACGCCCTCACAGCAGCCAATCGCCGGCAGCCAGGGGCCCAGATCCACCTAGCCGGCGACCTCAATCCAGGAGAGGGCGCAGCAGAGGCCATGAGCGCGGCGTTGGCCCAGCGGAAATTGCACCGCAAAGTCCTGGAGTCGGTGGCCACGCGCGCCAGCGGCCGCGGGCTGGACGTCGTCATCGGGCCCCGGGGCAGCCTGCGCGGGCCCGCCCAGGTGCGCAACGGCACGCAGAGCAGAGAGGTCGGATGCACCGGCGACCTCTGCCAAGCATGCTACACGGGGCGCGGTGCTCGGGTCGCGGGACCTGGGCCACCACCCGGTCACGTGGGTCCCCGCGCTGGCACAGCTGGCCGGAGGAGATGCAGGGCAGTTTCGGTTCGTCTCGGACGCGGGCCAGCGGCATGCCGCCTCGGCGACAGCGGCGGGCGCGGCCTTCGACGCCTTGCGGGGAGAGCTGGTCGCCAGGTGCAACGACCCCTTGCGGGCCGGCGGCGCCTCAGGCAGCCCAGGCCGCCCTGAACGCCGCGGCCTGGGCGCGGCGCGCCACTGCCGCCCTCGCGGCGGCCGCGGGGGACCTCGGGCGCGCCTCGGCGCCGGAGGCGGGCCGGCGACGCGGGGCTAGCGCAGCCGATGCAGCAGCTTTCCGACAGGTCGCGGCGGCAGCCGTGCAGCACCAACAAGGCACACGAGCGTCATCTCGGCCGCCCTTGCCTTCGCCCAGCGGCGCCCGCGCGAAGCGCGAGGCTGGGCGCGGGCCGCCCGGGCATCGCGGCGAGACACCGGCTGCTGGCGCTCGCGCAGAACAGCCCGACCGCTGCCGCGACGGCCCTCAAGGCACCGCCGGGCTCCCGGCGGGCCCTCCTGCGCAGTTATATGCGGGGCCCGGAGCGCGAGGGCAAAGTGCGCGCGAGGGCGGGGCAGAGGCTGGGCGGGGCCCCGCGATGCATCCAGCTCCGCGATGACCCGCCGCGGAGCGCCGAGCGGGTCGGCAGCCGCGCGGGCGCGGCTAGACAGGCAGCGAGCGGGCGCCAGGGCGCCAAGGAGGCCCTCAACAGCTGACCCCGTGGAGGGCCCCACCCCCGCAAGGCTTGCCAAGTCGCTGGCGAGGACCAAGCGCCGCGCGCAGTGCCGAGGCCTCCTGCTGCACAGTGCGCACCTGTGTGCCTTGGACTCGCTCCTGGCGCTGACCGCCCTGCCTCTCTGCCTCTGCCAGGTCCCGACCATGTGGCCGGTCCGGGACATCTGCCGCAAACGCAAGGGCGGCCGGGCACGCATCGACAACAGCGGCTGCAGGCCCTTGGCTCTATGATCCGCCGAGGACCGCCTCATTGAGGAGCTCTGGGGAGGCCGCAGCCGGCGGGGCAAGGCGGCTTGGGGGGGCTCCAGGGGGCCGGCGGCGAGTGCTTAGTAGCTGGGCTCTGCAGGAGGTCGCCGCGATCTGCGCCGCGCAGGGCCGCCCGCATGCCGAGGTGCTCGCGCGTGAAGCCGAGGCGTTTGACAGCCAGGATCGCGCGGAAGCCCTGGTCGCCATGCGCGACCGCGCCGGCGTCGCAGGCCGCCAGTGGCTCCTGGCGGAGGCCATGCTCGCGGTTGGTCTCGGGGCGCGGAGGCGCAACTCAACCCTTCCGGTCGCGGGCGGGCATGCCGGGGGGTCGGGCGCTAAGCCCCGTCCAGATCCAGCACAGCGTGGCCAACGCGGAGAAGATTGAGGAGGCGGCGTCCACCCCTGGGGGGGGCCTCGGACGCAACCTCCCGGGGACGGCCTGCGGGCGCACGGGCGACGCCGCGACGGCACGGACGCAGCCGCCCTGCACGCGCAGGAGGTGCAGCAGTGGGCCGCGCTCATGGCCGATGGGCACGCTGGCTGGGCCGCATGTACGGCGTCGGCATCATCCTATGCGGCCCGCCTGGCCCTGCTCGATGAGGTGCCCCCCCTCCATGGGGCCCCGCGCTTTCGTGGATGACGTCCGCGCCAAGGCGAGCTCGCGGGGCCAGCGTGGCGTCGCCGTCCAGGCGATCCTCGAGGCGTCGAGGCGGCACCGCGGCCACCCGGCACGGGCCCACGAAAACCGCCATCGTCGCCTGGGACATTCGACCCGTGGGCGGCATGGAGGTCGTCGACGAGTACGGATGCCTCGGCACGCTCCGCACCTCGACGGCGCATAGCCAACGTCACCTGATAGCGCTGGAGCGCGCTGCCAGGGAGACCGGGCACCGCCACATCCAGATCATGGCGCAGCTGGGGTTCTTCCTCGAGGAGTTCACGACGGGCCTCGTCACCTGCGCCCGGTCGAAGGCGCTCTGCGGCGCCGGGCTGTGCGTGCGCGTGGACGGGTTCGAGGCGGCGCTCAACAGGATTTTGGGGCCCTGGGCCAGACAGGCGCTGGCGGCCCAGGGCCCCCCCGCGCGTACTGCTGCCGCGGCGCATGGCGTGGCCAAGGCGGCTGACCGCGACGGTCAGGGACCGCGCCATCCGCCTGCGCGCCCGTGCTATCAGCGACCCCATGTACGCGGCGGCTCGGCAGGTGCTCCGTGCGGCCCAGGAGGAGAAGGGCACCTGGTCGGCGCACCTGCGCGACCTCGCGGCGAGCCGGGGCGCCCTGCCCCCGCCGCTCCCCCCGCTGGGCCAGCGGCGAAGGACCGGTTCCGCAGCGCGCTCCGCGCGGCCGCCCAGGCGCAGGAGGCCAAGTGGGCCAGGGCCCGGCCGCGAGCGGAGGCTTTCCAGCGCCTGGCACGGCGTCGCGGGATTGCGGCCGAGGCGTCGGCGTCCGGGGCCCCGCTCGCCCGCGCGGGCCTGGGCCCGCCTCTGGCTCCAGGTCGGCCCCGCATGCAGCGCCGCGGGGGAGGTCCCCGCGCGCCGCTTCTGCGGTCCGGAGCAGGAGACCTGGCGGCACCTCGCGGAGGATTGCGGCGAGGCGGCCGCGGCCCTCGGCGCCGGGGGCAGCACCGACGCATTGGCGCCGCTCTCCCCGGAGCGCCGCGCCTGGCTGCTGGGCGAGCGCGGCAGCCTGGCGGCCGCGGCGGCGGAGGTGCCGCGCTGGCTGAGGCCACAGTAGGCCGGAGGGGGCGGAGCACGATCCAAGGGGTCGGGCCCCCCCGTCCACGAGTCGAGGCGCTTGGGCTGCCATCGGGAATTTTGAGCGCCGCCTCATGCGCTCAGAATTCCGCTTGGGCGGCCATGACGGCCGGACTGGGCTGCCCGCGTCTTCCTGCGGCCTGGGCGACCTGCTCCCCGTCGCCGTCGCCGCCCGGCCCCCGTCGCCGTTGCGGTCGTTGTCGCCGTCCGCCGCGTCTCGTCGACGGGCCCCCCGTCGCCGTTCCCCGTCCCCGTCGTCGGTGTGTGTGTGTGTGTGTGTGTGTGTGTGTGTGTGTGTGTGTGTGTGTGTGTGTGTGTGTGTGGTGTGTGTGTGTGTGTGTGTGTGCGTGCGTGTGTGTGTGTGTGTGTGTGTGTGCGTGCGTGCGTGCGTGCGTGCGTGCGTGCGTGCGTGCGTGCGTGCGTGCGTGCGTGCGTGCGTGCGTGCGTGCGTGCGTGCGTGCGTGTGTGTGTGGTGTGTGTGTGTGTGCTGCGTGCGTGCGTGCGTGCGTGCGTGCGTGCGTTGGCGTGCGTGCGTGCGCTGTGTGTGTGCGTTTGTGTGGGCGGGCGGGCGGGCGGGCGGGCGGCGGCGGCGGCGGGCGAGGGCGCGGCGCGGGCGCGGGCGCGGACGCGGGCGCTGGCGCGGTCCCGCGGTCCGGGTGCGGGTGAGGGTGCCGGTGGGGGAGCGGGTGCGTGGTGCGTGTGCGTGTGCGTGTGCGAGTGCGTGTGCGTGTGCGTGTGCGTGTGCGTGTGGCGTGGCGTGTGCGTGTGCGTGTGCGTGTGCGTGTGCGTGTAGCGTGCGCACAAGCGTTCGCGCCTGTGTGCGTGTGCGGTGCGTGTGCGTGTGCGTGTGCGGTGCGTGGGACGTGTGCGTGTTGCGTTGCGTGTGCGTGAGCGCGTGCCTGCGCCTGCGCCCTGCGCCTTCTGGCGCCTGCGCCGGCCCTGCGCCTGCGCCTGCGCCTGCGCTGCGCCTGCGCTGCGCCATGCGCCTGCGCCTGCGCCTGCGCCTGCCGCCTGCGCATGGCGCTAGCGCCCTGCGCCTGTGGCCTGCGCCGCGCCTGCGCCTGCGCCTGCGCCTGCCGCCTGCCGCCTGCGGCCTGCGCCTGCCATGCGCCTCGCCTGCGCCTGCGCCTGCGTGTGCGTGTGCGTGTGCGTGTGCGTGTGCGTGTGCGTGTGCGTGTGCGTGTGCGTGTGCGTGTGCGTGTGCGTGTGCGTGTGCGTGTGCGTGTGCGTGTGCGTGTGCGTGTGCGTGTGCGTGTGCGTGTGCGTGTGCGTGTGCGTGTGTGTGTGTGTGTGTGTGTGTGTGTGTGTGTGTGTGTGTGTGTGTGTGTGTGTGTGTGTGTGTGTGTGTGTGTGTGTGTGTGTGTGTGTGTGTGTGTGTGTGTGTGTGTGTGTGTGTGTGTGTGTGTGTGTGTCGCCGCCGGGTCCCCGCCCTGCCCTCTCGTGTTCCCTCGCCCCCCCCCGGTCTCCGTGGTCCTCTCTCCCCCTGTCCTCCCTTGCCTGGCAGGCGTACCTTAAGCGCCGCTTAAGGTACGCCTGACCTGGGCGCCCCGCGGCCCCTCTGGCCTGGCCCCGTGCTCGCCGTCGCCCCTGCCTGCTGCGCCGCCGCTGCTCCCCGCACTCTCCGTGGCGTCGGGGGACTTGGGGTGCCATCCATGCGGGGTCGGCGGCCTCCAAGCTGACCCGGGCGCCACGGGCGGTCCCCCGGCGTGCGCCCGGCGGCTGCCGATTCAATCGCGGCCCAGCGCTGGCTGGGTCCGCCGCTGGAACTGGCCCCGGGCGCGGCGGAGGCCGGGCCCCCTCCTGATATATGCCATGCCCGCGGAGCGCCCGTGCCCAGCCCCCCCCCGCACACCGCCCCCGAGCAGCGCCCAGCTCACCGCGGGGCTGCCGGCCCCCCCCCCCCCGCGCGGCTCTACAGCCCACCCCGGGGAGTCCGCCGGGGGACCAGCTCCCCGGGGGCCCATGGTCAGGCCTCTCTCCGCCTCGCGGTGAAGGCCCGCCAGGTGGCCCCCGGCCGCGGGGGCGTTCTGCAGCTCGGGTATTGCTGGACTGCCCGGCCGCGATAGTTAGTGCCCGCGCCGCGCGGCCCGGCCGGGCGGGCGCCCCAGACGGGGTTCCCACAGGGCGGAAAAGGAAAAGAGGAGGAGGGGGAGGAGGAGGAGGAGGAGGAGGAAGACCTTTCACCGGAGTGACCTCTGGTCCCTGACTCCCTCGGTGCCGTGAAAAAACACGACGGGAGGTTTTCCGCAATTTTCGGGCTCTGGTGGCCTTTCCCGGGCCTCGGCGCCGTCAAAAAACGATTCAGGATGAAAAACCGTTCCCCAGGACAGGGTCCAGACCTCTGGGGGCCGACGTGAAAAATCACGACGTCGGGGGTCTGGGAGTGACCTTTCGCCAGAGTGACCTGCTGCGGGCACACTACGGGGCTCACCATGCGAGGGTCAGTGCAAATGGGGGTCGGCCAGAGAACGGTGCCGGACCCTACAGGATCCTGCAGAGCCAGGGACGCACTTCCCCCGGCTTGGGTGTAGAATCCTGCGTGATCCTGCGGGATCTTGTATGATCCTGTAGGGCCGAACTGACCCGGGCTTGGATTTGACCCAGGTCAGTAGGTCCCCGAGGCACACTGGGGCCCCAGATGGCCGAAGTCGATGCGACAGCAGCGGTTTGCGCGTTCGGGTCTGGCCTCCCCGCCCCCCCCCAAAAGGCTTGCGCACCAGAGGTCATTCTTGCCTGGGGTCACTCTTGCGCGTCGTGGATCAGCATCGTTGTGCCCATCCCCATCCCCACCTGGCCATGGTATAGCACCATCCCGCCACCCCAGCTGGGGGTGGGCCCCTTGAAACCGGGGGGGGGGGGCAGCCTCTATCCCCACATTGGGGGGTGAGTCTGCCAGTGAGGCCTAGGCCACGCCGGTGGGGAGAAGGATCGGCTCAACGATGCTCAGGCGCGGCTGTGGCACGACAGGGGGCAGCTGGAGGAGCACATCCGGCAGGCCTCGTGGGCGGGAGGTGTCAGGCAGGCTCTCTCGGGGCGCAGGGCCGTCGCCGCCGCGCAGGGGCAGCGTTCGTGCGCTAGTGTCTGATCGCTCACCCCGCCAGGAGTGTGCGGATTCGCTATCGGGGGCCCATCGCGATCTACTGGCGATGTAGCGCCGATTCCAGGCCGACGGTTCCCCCCCTGAGCCAGTGCCCCCTCGAAGGTTCCCCTTCACCAGCACTCAGGAACTTTGCATGGCGTGTCGCGGTACCGCTTCAAGCTCACTACGCCTCGGTGCGGCACGCTGAGAACGTCCCAGTCACCAAGCATCAGCGTTCCGAGCTGGACGCCTGCGAAACAGAGCGTTAGGCTGTCAGCCTGCAATGCACAGCGTGTCGCAGGAGCAGGCGCCGCGACACGCGCGAAGCACAGGCTCCTGACCGTAGGCCGAGGATAACTTCGTGAGCGCTCTGGAGCGGTCGTGGCGCCCGATGAAGCTTCGAGACCCCGCTGGCGCTGAGAATCCAGGCTCGTCGTCGTCCAGGTTTGCCCTCGTCCTGCTTCGTCTCAGCATGCATGTCCATGGCCCATGGCTGTCCTTCCTTCCTTCCTTCCTAGCGCCACTGGGAGGAGCTTCCGAGGCGAGCAGGAGGCCGACAAGCTACAGTTTCAGTGGCGTCCGCTCTGGCGACCCCCCTCTCTCAAGCGAAAACGAGCTCGCGGCCGACGACGCCTCTGGCTATACCCATGCGGCGTTCCAGGACGAGCCTCGCCTTCGAGGATCGAAGGAGCTGTCGTCTCTTCCTCGGCGGAAGGGCGGCGGAAGGGCGGCGCACGGTCCGCGGAGAAGTACACCGAGGCCGCCGCCTCCGCCGGCGGAGGCCGGCGGGAGCTCGGCGGGAGCTCGGCGGAAGGCGGCGGAAGCAGCACGCTGCGGCCCCCAAAAAGAGGAGAGCGTTTCCGAGTCGGGGCTTCCGCAGTCGCCGACGGATCCACGGCCTCTCGGTCGGGGCCCCTTTGGGCCGCGGCCCCGGGGATGGGGAGGGCGGCTCTGCGCAGATGCCCCGTCGCGGAGCGCATCCGCGGAGACGCGCATATCCGTGGGAGGGCGCCTCTCCGTGTGCAGACCGCGGGGGCACGGGTGTTGATGTGCGCTGGTCGCGCGGGGAGGTCATCGACACGTTCAATAACGCCGTGGCCTCCATCGAGAAGGAGAAGGCGAAGCTGGATACCTGAGGAGGAAAATACACCCATACGTCTACCCTCCCCTCGTTTTCCCTTCTTTTTTTTGCTTCCTGGGCCTCCGTCGTCGCCACCGCTGGATTCGCTTCGAACTCCTGGTCAGAACGCAGGAGAGGTCCCGGGAGTAGCGGTATCGGTACATTTTGTTGTCCCCAGGATAGCGACCTGAAGAACGCGGACATGAAGTTGCTGGTACTGTACGAGGAGCTCCTCACTCTCAACGAGCTGGAGGAGAAGGACGAGGCGCTCCTCAAGAAGGCCACCAAGTGCAGGCAGGACAAGACGAGCATCATGCATCAGATCAAAGAATGCCAGGACCAGCTGGGCGACAAGAAGACGGAGATCGAGCAGTGGCACAGCGAGGAGCAGAGCCTGGAGGCGGACTTCAGCGAGCTCGTGGGGGAGAACACGCAATTCCACGCGGCATTGCTCAAGATCTATAAGAAGAAGGTGAAGCGCTCCAAGCGCAAGAAGGGTGCTGGCGAGGAAGAGGACTTCGACGAGGACGAGGACGAAGAGGAGGAAGAAAGCGACATGGAGAGCGAGGAGGACGAGGACGAGATGGACGACGAAGGCCCGCCCCAGGGCTGTGACGTACAGATATACGAGAGCGTCATCGAGCTGCGCGAGAAGCGCCTGGACATGGAGGACGCGCTCCAGGAGATCCAGAGGGCGGTGGACGAGCTGAAGAAGACGCACAAGACGCTCCTCGAGAGCGAGCGGCGCATCGACAAGGAGCAGAAGCAGACCGACTTCGAGATACAGCAGTTCCAGACCGACAAGCAGCGCAAGTTGAACCAGGTCGAGATCGTCTTCGCCCTGCGCCTCTCGCAGGTGCAGTGCCTCGACGCCCCCGCCGACGGCGACGAGGCGCCCGAGCGGCTGCCCGCCGAGCTGGAGCGCCACGTCGTCTTCACGCACGAGGGGCTCCACCGGCTCATGTCGCGCATCGAGGAGCTCCACCAGGAGAGCAGGTGCGGCGATAGAGGGGGGGGGGCTACCGAAGACGAGAAAACGCCATAAACATGAGCGTCTGGCGCTCCGCGCGGATTTCTCGGATCCGCGCTGTCCGCGCCGAGCCCCCTGGCGGCGCCTCCGGCGCCGCCCCATGGCGCGCTCCGCGCGCCGGGGAGGGGGGTCCGGCGCGGATCCAAGAAGTCCGCGCGGACCGCCACACGTTTATGTTCATGGCGTTCTTTGTTCCTCTCGATGAGGCACTTTATTAGTGTCATGTTTAGTTGTTCTTGTTTGGTGCCTGTTTGGATCCTTTTCTAGTGTTCTGCCTTCTCCTGTGTTCGTTTTTTTTGAAGGGATGCATCTCTTCTTTCTTCCTCCAGGAGCGCCACCGCCCAGCCTCGAGCCTGCCGCCCGCGCGGGGGGCCGCATCGCCCCCCGGTCGCCCCCTCATCGCCGATGGTGGCCCCCTGGCCCCAGCCTGCCCAGGGGCCCTCCTCCTCCTCCTCCTCCTCCTCCTCCTCCTCCTCCTCCTCCTCCTCCTCCTCCTCCTCCCCCTCACTTCCTCCTCCTCCTCCTCCTTCTCCTCCTCCCCTCCTCCTCCTCCTCCTTCTCCTCCTCCTCCTCCTCCTCCTCCTCCTCCTCCTCCTCCTCTTCCTCCTCCTCCTCCTCCCCGTCCCCCTCCTCCTCTTCCTCCTCCTCCTCCTCCCCCTCCCCCTCCTCCTCCTCCTCCTCCTCCTCCTCCTCCTCCTCCTCCTCCTCCTCCTCCTCTCCTCCTCCTCCTCCTCCTCCTCCCTCCCCCTCCTCCCTCCTCCCTCCCCTCCTCCCTCCTCCCTCCTCCCTCCTCCCTCCTCCCTCCTCCCCCCCTCCTCCCTCCTCCTCTCCTCCCTCCTCCCTCCTCCCTCCTCCCTCCTCCTCTCCCTCCTCCTCCTCCTCCTCCTCCTCCTCCTCCTCCTCCTCAGCATGGGGGGCCCGTCGCCGATCTGTCGGCGATGTGTCGCCGACTCCAGGTCGGTGTGCCCCTCCCCCTGCAGGTCAGCCCGAAGAGGCTGGGCAGCCTTCCCAAGGGTACCCCGTGCAGCCTTGCCTCCTCGGCCCATTCTGGGCCACTTTCGGTGGCCGTGAGCCGCTCGAGAAGCGTCGGAATGGGCGCTGAAGGCCCTTGCATCCTTGTCGCGCATCCTTATGATACGGGCTGGCTGTATGCCGGTCCCCCCCCGATCGTTGCCCCTCAGGAAATCAAGGACGTGAAGGGCGGCCACCGACAGCTGCAGCGCGACTTCCAGGCCCAGAAGAAGGAGAAGAACCAGGTCCTGAAGCACATCGAGGAGCTGCAGGGGAAGTACCAGGACATCCAAATGCTGAAGTTCGGGCAGACGGTCGACCTGGACCTCATCGAAAGGAGCGCGCCGAACAACTGGGTGCTGGAGCTGCAGGGCAAGGCCCGCGAGGTGGAGGGAGAGAACACCGAAAAGCTGACGCAGTGGCAGAAGAAGATCGAGAAGCAGAAGAAGGAGCTGGCGAAGGTCACCGCAGATAACACTTCCCTGATGGAGCAGATCGTCAGCATGGGCTACTCGCAGATGCAGCTGGACGCCGCGCTGAACGCCAGGATCGCGAACGTCACGGTCAACGACAACGAGCCATTGATCGAGATGCGCGAGTTGGAGAGGGAGCGCCTGAAGGATCTCCTTGTGCTGCAACAGAAGGAGATCGCCACGCTCCAGGCCCACGGCTGTCCGAGTGGGCCCCACTGCAGTCCAGAAGTTTGGCTCAGCGTGTCGCTTCGCCGGTTCTGGCCCAGCACGCTTCGGCGCGACACTCCAGCAACGTCCCGAGCATCTCCCAGCATGCCGCCCCATGAGCGCAGAGACATGGAGAGACCTGCTATCACCTCGCGAGGCATGGCGTGTCGCCGAGGCCGCCGCCCCGACTCGCTAAGCACAAGCTCCTGACCGTCAGGGCCCGGGGGCCACAGCAGCATCCGAGACCACGGCCCGGACCCCGATTGGTTATCTGTCCGCCCTTGCGGCTCTTGCTGCCCGAGTCAAGGGCGGGGACCCCCCAGACATCCCTGCAGAAGGTTCCCCGAGCTTTCCGGGGCTCATGGACGCCCCTGCTGGGCCTAGCCAGCGGGCCAAAATCGGCCAGAAGGGTGGCCGAACGGCCCAGCGAGAACCCCGAGCAGCTCCAGACACCCACCAGACGCCCGAAGGCGACCCAAAGAAGACCCCAGAGAGGCGTTGGAAACGCGACATGTAAAAACAAAAACAGAGATTGGTTTTCCTGTGGTTTTTGCATGATTTGGAGGTCTTCTATATCCTGTGCGCGCGAGACCGCCCGAGAGGCTTGCAAAGCAACCGAAACGGGCTTCCAGGCGGCTCAACAGAGCCCCAAGACGGCCCAACAGGGCCCAACACACGGCCCGAAGAGAGCACCATGACGGCCCAAGATGGCCCCAAGATGCCCCCCGAAGCACTCCAAATCGTGACCCAGTCGGTCAGGGAGACCGCAGTTGGAGGCAGGGTGGCCCGATGAAGCCCACAAAGGACCCCAGGAGGCGTCTTGGAGAGGGCGCCACGGCCACCTTGGCAATCTCCGCCCCGGACGCGGTGGGCGTGGCGTGGGTTTTGCCGCAGTGCCGGCGTCGTCTGCATGGGGCGCCGGACGCAGGGCTTGCCGTGGGTTTGCCGTGGTGTCAGCGTCGTCCACGTGGGCGCGTCGAGAACAAGCGGCGCGGCGACTCACCCAGACCCCCGACGTCAGAGTTTTCATAACGCCGACGCCCAGGGGCCTCGACCCATTCCCCAGGACCCGTTTTTCATCCCGAGTCGTTTCTGGACGGTCCCGCGAGCCAAGTCGGGCCCCGAGAGGCAGAACAAAAACCAAACAAAAGCTCCCGCCGTGACTTCTTCCCAACCCTCCTTGGTTGGGCATTCGTTGTGAATAGCGCACTGTGGTCTCCGTCCGTCCTTCTCTCCTTCCCGTCACCCTCCTGCCTACTCCTGTCTTGCCTGCAGGGGGCTGCGATCTGTGAAATTGTCCCAACTTTCGAGGCATGCTGGGGGTCCAGTACAGTGACGTCCTACGCAGATTCAAATTTGATGTCGCCATCCCTGGGGGGCTGCGATCTGTGAAATTGTCGCCACTTTCGAGGGCTGCTGGGGGGTCCAGTACAGTGACGTCCTACGCAGATTCAAATTTGACGTCGCCATCTCTGGGGGGCTGCGATCTGTGAAACTATCGCCACGCTCGAGGCCTGCTGGGGGGTCCAGCATAGGGACGTCCTACGCAATTCGAATTCGACGTCGCCATCCCTGGAGGGCTGCGATCTGAGAAACGGTCGTCATTTTCGAGGCTTGCTGGGGGGTGCAGCACAATGCTGTTCTACGCAGACTCAAATAAGACCTCGCCATCCCCGGGGGGCTGCGATCTGTGAAACGGTCGCCACTTTAGAGGCCTGCCGGGGGGTTCAGCACAGTGACGTCCTACGCAGATTCAAATTAGACCTCGCCATCCCTGGAGGGCACACTGTTGTCCTACGCAGATTCAAATTAGACCTCGCCATCCCTGGGGGGCTGCGATCTGTGAAATTGTCGCCACATTCGAGGGCTGCTGGGAGGTCCAGCACAGCGACGTCGTACGCATATTCAAATTCGGCCTCGCCATGCCTGGGGGGCTGTGATCTTTGAAATTGTCGCAACTTTCGAGGCATGCTGGGGGGTCCGGCAGAGTGACGTCCTACGCAGATTCAAATTAGACGTCGCCATCCCTGGGGGGCTGCGATCTGTGAAATTGTCGCCACTTTCGAGGGCTGCTGGGGGGTCCAGCATAGTGACTTCCTACGCAGATTCAAATAAGACCTCGCCATCCCTGGGGGTCTGCGATCTGTGAAATTGTCGCCACTTTCGAGGCCCGCTGGGGGGTCCAGCATAGTGACTTCCTACGCATATTCAAATTAGACCTCGCCATCCTTGGGGGGCTGCGATCTGTGAAACTATCGCCACGCTCGAGGCCTGCTGGGGGGTCCAGCATAGGGACGTCCTACGCAATTCGAAGTCGACGTCGCCATCCCTGGAGGGCTGCGATCTGAGAAACGGTCGTCATTTTCGAGGCTTGCTGGGGGGTGCAGCACACTGCTGTTCTACGCAGACTCAAATAAGACCTCGCCATCCCCGGGGGGCTGCGATCTGTGAAACGGTCGCCACTTTAGAGGCCTGCCGGGGGGTTCAGCACAGTGACGTCCTACGCAGATTCAAATTTGATGTCGCCATCCCTGGGGGGCTGCGATCTGAGAAACGGTCGTCATTTTCGAGGCTTGCTGGGGGGTGCAGCACACTGTTGTACTACACAGATTCAAATTAGATGTCGCCATCCCTGGGGGGCTGCGATCTGTGAAATTGTCGCCACTTTCGAGGTCTGCTAGGGGGTCCAGTACAGTGACGTCCTACGCAGATTCAAATTAGACCTCGCCATCCCTGGGGGGCTGCGATCTGTGAAATTGTCGCCACTTTCGAGGCATGCTGGGGGGTCCAGTAGAGTGACGTCCTACGCATATTCGAATTCGACGTCGCCATTCCTGGAGGGCTGCGATCTGAGAAACGGTCGCCACTTTCGAGGGTTGCTGGGGGGTGCAGCACACTGTTGTCCTACGCAGATTCAAATAAGACCTCGCCATCCCTGGAGAGCTGCGATCTGTGAAACTATCGCCACGCTCGAGGCCTGCTGGGGGCGCCAGCATAGTAGGGCTCCGCGGCGGACTCAAATGGGACCGAAATGCTGGTCGCAGAAATTCATACGCCCATGTCTCGTCATCACCCCCTTTATGAAGTCGCCCAAGCTACTTATACCCCGCATTTCGCAGGGGTTGGGTACGTCGCCAGGGTAATTGTGACAGCGCGAGGGGGTCTGGGTAGACAGATACGCATGTCTATTAATTCTTCTGCCTGGCGCTGAGCGATGCGGGCGCTCGAGCCTCCAAGGGAACGCTGCCCCACCTCCTCCTCGGCGCCTCCACGCCGCGACGCCCCGAGCCTCCCCATACCTTCGATGCCCTCATCGAGCACAAAAGGACCCCAAACCCTAACAACACGATGACGACGTGTCCTCACTGAGGCCCCCATCGTCGCATGAAGGATAAACAATCTGGGTGGCTTGGCCTGATACATCCACAGAACAGGCCCCCCATCCCTAATGTTTTTGGCCCTCCTAACTTAGGTCCACTCCCACAGCGTTGGGGGTCTATTTCTGGTCAATCATTCATTCTTTCAAGACGGACGTTCTCTCCCAGAAGTCCCGTTCCTTCCCCCGGTCGAGCTGGTAGCCCAGACCCCCTCGAGTCAGGAAAAAGTCACGACGGTAAATTTCCCATTGCTTTCGGCCTCCGGGAGCCCTGGCCAGTTCCAGGAACCGTCAACAAAACGACTACGGACGTAAAGCTGGTCCACTGAGAATGGGTCGAGATGCCGACTACACGTCAGAGTGACCCCTTCGCCAGAGTGACCTTTGGTGCTGGCCCACATGGGGTCGGGTGATTTTCTTGTGGAATGAGCTTGGCCTCGCGTCGGCACCCGCATCGCGTGATTACGCTCGCATATGAGCGCGCCAGGTTTGGGCCCACTCCTTGCAATCGACAGAAACGCATACGCGTCGCACCCTACAGTTTGCTTTGGTTACCCGACGGGGAGCGGGTCAACCAGGCGGCGCGTTTTCTGGCCCAGGATCAGTCCCGAATCCCAGCACACATCCCAAAACGTCTGGTTTGAATATCTCTGGATATCCGTGAATATCTTTGAATTTGTTTGAGAGAGCGTGATCCACCGCCGCTTTACGGTGGAAAATTCCCCCCCCCCCCCCCCCCCCCTCTTCCTCCGGAGCCCGGATTTCCCCCCCTCCGAAATCCCACCCCCTGCTCGAACCCTCCCCTTCCCTCCCCCTTCTCCCAACAACCCCCCTCCCTCCCTAATCCCTCCCCCCCCTCCTCCGGGAAACGGGGGGGGGTCACTACCGGTTCGAACCCCCCTCCCCCCCCTCCAGAAAACCGGGGGGGGGCCACTATCAGATCAGACTCTCCCCACCCCCCTGACGCCGGCAAAAGATTTCCGGGTCCCCATCGCCGTCCTCACCAACGCCCTCACCAGTGTCCCCACCACCACCACCGTCCCCACCATTATCCCAATGCCCCCACTGCTCCCACCACTGTTCCCACCAATGCCCCCACCAGCGTCGCACTGTCCCCACTGTCCCCGCCACTGTCCCCACCACGGTCCCACTCTCCCCACTGTCCCCACTGTCTCCACCACTGTCCTATTGTCCCCACTGTCCCCACGACTGTCCCACTGTCCCCACTATCCCCGCCGCTGTCCACTGAGCCGTCCCACTGTTCCCACCACTGTCCCACTGTCCCCACCAGCCTCCCCGCCGTACCACTGTCTAATTGTCCCACCATCCCCAGTGTCCCAACTGTCCCCGCCATTGTCCCACTGTGCCCACCACTGTCCCACTGTGCCCACTGTCCCCACCGCTGTCCCACTGTGCTGCCCCATTGTCCACACTGTCCCCACCACTGTCCCCACTGTCCCCACCACTCTCCCCACTGCATGTACCACTGTCCTACCACCGTCCTAACCATGCACCGCCTTCACCACCGTCCCCACCACCACCGTCCCCACCACTGTCCACCTGCTGTCCCCACCACCACCGTCTCCACCACTGTCCCACTGCTGTCCTCACCACCACCGTCCGCACCACTGTCCAAGTGTCCCCACTGTCCCCACCACTGTCCCCACCACTGCCCCCACCACTGCCCCCACTGTCCCCATTGTCCCCACCACTCTCTCCTTTATCACCGCCAGTGCCCCCACCATTGTCCAACTGTTCCCACTGTTCCCACCACTGTCCCCACCACGATCCCAGTCTTCCCACTGTCCCCACTCCCCACCACCATCCCCGCCACCGTCCCAACCACTGTCCCCACCAGTCCCCCATCCGAAGTGGGAGAGGAGGGGGAGTCGTTGCGGCGAGGGGGGAGGGGGGAGGAGGGGGGGGGTCGGACCCGTAGTGACCCCCCCCGTTTTCCAGGTAGGGTGGTGGGGAGGGGTTCCAAGCGGTAGTGGCCCCCCCCCCTTTTTTTCATGATGGACAGGGGGGGAGGGGAGGGGGGGTTGGAACCCCCAGTGACCCCCTCTCGGTTTTCGAGAGGGTGGGGGGACGGGTTGGAAACCCCCAGTGACCCCCATGGGTTTTTGCCAGCAACGGGAGAGCACGCTCGTTCATATGTTTGAATGTGTTTATTCGAGCCAGTGGTGATCTTTACTATGATATGTTTTTTTCAAAAATATTCAAACATATTCCAGGCTCTCGGATGGGGCCGGTTTTGGCCATGGCGCCGGGCCTTGTCAGACGTCATCGCGATGCAGCCCGGCAGTGCCAGACCTCATCGCGGTGGCCCCTGGCAGCGTTTGCTTTCGCAGCGCCTTCGAAGTGCCATTCGGGGCGCTCGAATTCAATCGGCGGAATTCCGCGATTGCCCACTGGCACACAGAATCTTTCGAGTGGCACCCCGCCGATCGTTGATGCGGCGCGGCAACGCCGGCTTGCGCGATCGCGTTGGGCCCCCACGGGCGCCCCTGAAACCGCGCACCAAAGGTCACTCTAGTCTAGCCTAGGGTCACTCCTAGGTGCAGGCGGGGGTCGACGTGATGAAATCATCATGACTTCGAGGGTCTGGGGTCTGGGAGAGACAGGGTCCAATGCAAACGGGGGTCCGCCAGACCGCCAGCTCTTGCAGGATCCTGCCGCGCCAGGGCTGCGTCGACCCAGGGTGTAGCGCGCGGGACCGCGGCAGGCTCCTGGAGGGCCCTACAGAGTCCTGCGGGAGCTTGCAGGATCTTGGGCTTGTTTTTCATCCCGCGTCGTTTTCTGAAGGTCCCCGCGGCCCAGCGAGGGCCCCGAAGGGCCAGAGATAACGAAAACCGTTCCGAGTGGGTCTGGGCCCGACCCTCTCGAGATTCGCCAGGCGGAGATCGGCCTCTTCCGCAAGAAGGGCGGGCACATCTACACCACGGTGACGGGCAACCGTGCGCCCGCCGCCGTCTGAGAGCACCCGCGCACCCGCGCGCGCCTTTCCTCGACCACGATGTCCGCCGCCGCCGTCGTAGTCGTCGTCGCCTTCATGGTCAACGTCGTCGTCGCCGCCGTCGTCGTCGGCGTCGTCGTGGTCGTGGACGCCGACGTCGTCGTCGCCGGTCGCCGTCGTTTTCCTGGCCTCTGCTCCTCCCCCTCCTCCTGCCTGTCCCTGTCCTCCGCCAGCCTCTCCTTCAGCCCCCGCCTCCCTTTTGTCTTCCCCCTTTAGCTTGTGTTTGAAGCGTTGCATTTTTGTTGGGGGGGTGTTAGGTAGTTCAATGGTTCGGTTTTCGGGAAACAGAAACGAGTAACACGGCGACCCAAAAGAGCAGCATGACGGCAGAACATGTTGAACCGGCCCGAAAACGGCGCGAACGAGAGTCCCAAAACGTAGGAAATAAAACCCAGAACGGACAGCAGACGGCGATCTTGAAAACGAAGCACAGACAGTGTTTGCAACACCATTTAAGTTCCCTCCCACCTCCATGCCCTCCTCCTCCTGCTCCCTTGTGCTCCCCCTCGTGGTCCTCTTCCTGCCCGTGCCCCTGCACATTTACTCTTGACACGAGCAGTGCATTGCCGGATTCCCCAAAGACGCCTAGGTTGGCATTGCGCTCTCTGCGTGCGTGGTTTTCGTTTTTGCATGCGCACGCAGGATTCCAGATGTTTGTGGTTGCCTCGTGTGCTTTTCAGCCGGCATGCGGGCCACTTCTCGGGATCCGAATCCTTGCTTATCTTGTTTCCCCGCTCCTTTCTCCTCCTCCGCCTTCCCTTGTCCTCCTGCTCTTCCCGCTCCTCCCACTCCTGCTGCTGCTGCTGCTGCTGTTCCTCCTCGTCCTTCTCCGGCCTCATCCTCCTCTTTCTCCTGCTCGTCCTTCTGCTCTTCCGCCACATCTTCATCCAGTGCGCACAGCGCCCTTTTTTCCTGTTTGCGCAGAGCACGGCGGTGTGTCCATTTGGAGGCTCCAGGCCCTCTGTGATGACACCCTTCGGCGGAGAGAGCAACACCAGCACCGCAACGAGCAGAGGGGCGAGAGGGATCGGCTGTTAGATCTGGGCCGGCACGGGAGCGGGAAGAGCGCCGCAGGAACCGAACTGGCCCGAGATGGCTCCTGGCACCCTTCGCTCTGGGGAGCCGTGGCGTGAAGAGCTTGTTGCGTCATCTCTCTCTGTTGGGAGCCCTGGTGTCCAGAGACTTGTACGTTGCTGCTTGCTTTGGGGAGCCTTGATGTTCAGTGCATTTTACGTCACCGTGCTCCTGGGAGCCTCGGTGTTCAGAGCTTGTTACGTCACCGCTCGCTGTGGAGAGCCATGGTGTTCCTTGGCGTCTCTGGGGCTTCTTGGGAGTCTTAAGGGGGCCCTTTGGGACCGTTTTGGGACTCTTGGGCCGTCTTGGGGCCAGCCCAGTCCGCACCCAAGCAGCCCAGGCCCCACACCGCCTCTTCGGACCCTCTTGGGAGACTCTTGGGGCCATTTTGGTGCTCTCGTGGGGCCGTCTTGGGGCTCTCGTGGGCCCATTGGCTTGTTTTGGGGCCCTTTGGGGGCCTCTGGGGCCGTCTCGGGACGATCTTTTGGGACCTCTTGGGCCGTCTGGGGCCCGTCTGGGCCTGAGACGGCAAGAACCTCCTAAACCTTGGAACACCTAAGGAATAACACAAGGTTTTTGGCCTCCTGAGGCCCTCTCGGGCCCCCTCTTGAGGGCCGTAGTCGGGCTCTTTGGCCGTCGTGGAGGCAGCCCAGTCCCCACATCCAAGCAGCCCAGTCCCCCCACCGCCCCTTCGGGCCCCCTTGGGAGTCTCTTGGGAACCTCTTGGGACCCTCTTGGGGCCCTCTTGGGGCTCTCTGGGGACCGTCTTGGGGCCCGCTTGGGCTGTCTTGGGCCACTCTGGGGCCATCTTGGGGGCCCTTTTGGACTGTGTTCGACCCCTTTGAGGGGACACTGGGGCCGTCTTGGGACGAGCTTTGGGGCCTCGTGGACCGTGTTGAGCCCTTCTAGGCCCGAAGAAGATAGAACCCAAACCACTCCTAAAAACCTTAGGGAATTTAATGTTTTTGGCCTCCTGAGGCCCTCTCGGGGCCCCTCCGGAGGGTTTTCTGGAGCCGTTTCGAGGCTCTCTTGGACCGTCTGGAGGCCATCTGAGGTTCCCCTCGGGGCCGTCTGCGGGCCGTTTCATTCGAACAAGTACGAGGACACAGGCCATGGGAGCCGCCCGGGACCCGCTTCATTGGAAAAATACGACCCCGGGCGGCCATTGCAGCCATCAAGGCGCTCCTCGCCCCTCCTCTGGGCCCTTCCCTAGAGAGCTTCGCCCCAACTCAACGTACATCGCTCGTACTTCGCTCTTTCCGTCACCTGCTTGGCATAGGGACGGAAAGCGCGGGTTCTTTTTGTGAGGGCGCGAGGTCGCTGGCTAGTGTCTTGGAGCCCTGCTGGTACGACATACACGAATCTAAAACAAACTCTGTGAAAATGAATGCATCTTGCATTTCCAGGCCTTCCTGGAAATCCTTTTAGGGCTCTTTGGGGCCCTCTTGGGGCTCTCCTGGGCCGTGCCGGAACCCTCTTGGGCCGTCTTGGCGGGCTTGGGCCGTCTTGGGGCTCTCTGGGGGCGCTCTTCGGGACCTCCAGTTGCCTCGTGTGGCTCTCTTGGGGCTCTATTGAGAACCTTGCGGGGCCCTCTGGGGCCCGCAAGGTTCTCCTCGGGCCGTCTTGGAGCCATTTTGGCCCGTCTCGGAGCTCTCTTTGGGTCCTCTCGGGCCGTCCTGGGGCGGTCTTGGGAGCCTCTTGGGCCATCTTGGACGCCTAAGAAATTCATATGCTGAAAATGTACGTTGGCCGAAAGGGAATGGGACGATTTTTCCCTCTTGGAGGTACCCATTGGGGGCCTCCTGCGGCGTGTCGGGGGCCTCTTGGGCCGTCTTGAAGCCATGTTGGGCCGTCTTTGAGCGCTCATGGGCCGTCTTCGGGCCCTCGTGGACCTCTCAGACGCCGTCATGGAGGTTGCTTGGGCGCTCTTGAGGCTGCTCTGGGCTTTCACGGGGGCCTCTGAAGCGCTCTTGGGGCTGACTTGGGCCGTCTTGGGCCGAACATGGCCAAAATTCTGGGCCGGTAGATCCGGGCCCGTTTTGCCTACCCCCCACCCCCAACCGAAGGTCCCAGTGGTGCAGTTCACATGTGGGCGACGCGCCCGGTTCGGCAGACCCCGCACATGTTTCGTTGCCCCGTAGGTAGCCCCACCGAAGGTCCCAGTGGCGCAGTTCGCATGTGGGCGTCGCGCCCGATTCGGCACACCCCTCACAGGCTTCGTGGCCCCGTACGGAGCCCCACAGAAGGTCCCAGTGGGAGGGTTCACATGCACCCGCCCACGTCCCCAAATCGGCACGCCCTTCACACGTTTTGTGGCGCCATAGGGAGTACCACCGACGACGACCCTCACACCTGCGGCACTCACACCTGCATCTGCTTGGGTCCTCCGCGAAACCATGTTTCTTCCAAAGTCCGCCTGTAGGAGGACCCACCCGACCTGAGTCGAGGTACCCTTCTCACCTCCCCCTTCTCCCTCCCTGCCCTCCCCTACCCCTCTCCCCATACCCCTCCCTTCTCCCTCCCTGCCCTCCCCTACCCATACCCCTCCCTTCTCCCTCCCCTACCCTTCTCCCTCCCTGCCTCCCCTACCCTTCTCACCTCCCCCTTCTCCCTCCCCTACCCCTCTCCCCATACCCCTGGTGCCCACCTGCCCCCCCCCCTCCGCGCGGCCGACCCGACCGTGGGGCCGCTCCCCCGTGCCGTGCCCCCCTCCGCCTTCCGCTCCGCAACTGGGACTGGCCCGCGCGCCTTGCCACCGCGGGAAAAGACGGGGCGGCGCCGCGTCCCCGACGGGGTCACCGGGGGAGGGGGAGGAGGAGGAGGAGGAGGAGGAGGAGGAGGAGGAGGAGGAGGAGGAGGAGGAGGAGGAGGAGGAGGAGGAGGAGGAGGAGGAGGAGGAAGGAGGAGGAGGAGAGAGGAGGAGGAGGAGAGGAGGAGGAGGAGGAGGAGGAGGAGGAGGAGGAGGAGGAGGAGGAGGAGGAGGAGGAGGAGGAGGAGGAGGAGGATTAGGAGGAGGATTAGGAGGTTGGAGGGCGAAGAGGGAGGAGGAGGGAGGAGGAGGAGCAGGAGGAGCAGGAGGAGCAGGAGGAGCAGGAGGAGCAGGAAGAGCAGGAGGAGGAGGAGGAAGAGGAGGGGGAGGAGGAGGAGCAGCAGGAGGAGGAGGGAGGGGAAAGAGGAGGCAGCAGCAGGAGGAGGAGGAGGGAGGAGGAGGAACCATCGCGAAAACCCAAGACTCATCAACGATGGTAGAATCAACCCTCTCTCGCCGAGCTCCCTCTTCATAAGTTTTTTACAGGAACCCATTTCTACTAGGGGAAGTGCCCCGTTGGGAGACAACCAGTGGACAAACAATGAAGAGGGCCAAGCAACCATTCTTGGGACTATTCTTTGCCTTGAGCATCCTGTACCGCGAATCAGCCCTGGCAATCCTAAACGAAAAGTTAAACTTAGATTCCTGCAACGTTGCAAGACGAAAGCGCACGGCGCTAAGGCGAGAGCCCCACGTTGCAAACGGCCCACCCTCAATCCGCGAAGTTCTGGCAATCTGTTAAGACGAATGCGCGCGGCGCTAAGTCTGAGCGCTAAAGCGAGTGCCGCATTTTGAAAACCACCAGCCCTTCGTCCGTGAAGCTGTTGTAAAATTCAAGCTTAAGGATCTTTATTGGTAAGGAAGTCACTGGAGAAACGCCCAGCCCGCCCTTCCGACCAGCTTCGGGGTGCGACAGAGAGGAGTTATTCATGAGGAGAAGGAGCGGAGAAGGGGGAGGAGGAGGGAGGAGGAAGAGGAGCAGGAGGAGGAGGAGGAGGAGGAGGAGGAGGAGGAGGAGGAGGAGGAGGAGGAGGAGGGGGGAGGAGCAGGAGGAGAGGGATGAGGAGTACTCTGCAATGCGATGACGCCGGTGCCTCTCCAAATGTGCATGCCTTGTGCGACCCCACTGCAATGT